AATACAATGTGGTACAGCATAAAAAAGATCATCATTCAATTTTATCACTATGTGATAAACGAATGTCCATTATGCTATTTGTACTACGACAAAAATTGGTGCACATGATTATAAAAAAAAAAGAATTTGTGCCTGCCTTTTAGAAAATCAAAGGTTTTATAAATTCATGTTGAAATGGACGCAGATATGTTATAATTAATTTGATAAGAATATACTAATCTTTCTTCTCATAAACTTGTCACTTGGGTTCATCGTTACATGAAGTTGAAAAAAACTGGTCATGGTGGCACATTAGTTTCGAATGTTATTGGTGTTGATTATTTATATTGATTGATCGAGCTATGTTTTTAGTAAGATCTCAACAAAGAATTGAAAAGGAAAGAAATGTCTAAAATCATCAAGAAATTTGCACAGGCAAAACTCTTACAGAAAGGGCTCTACTCCACTAATGTCTACTGTGAACCGTCGTACAATTCGCGGGATTGTAAAGGTTGGAGCATACTAATACCATTCGTACTTTGCGTGTGTATATGCGATTACTACTTGGATTACAACGTGCTCGATCTGTTGCTTTAACAGAAGATGTAAGGCTAATTCCTATCATCATTATTATAATAAATTGATTATTTTATTTATTTAAAAAAAAAATTTTAACTTTATAGGATGATATTGTTGTGATGCAAAATACAAAATATGGTATTATTATACATGTGAATTTGTAATTTAATCTATATTAGTTTTTTAATATATTACATTCCTAATATTATTCTTATTCTTACCTTCAAAGAGTCACAAGACCCCTCTCTACTTATAACTTATAGACGTATAGCAATTAAAGACAGTACAGTAACTGCTATATGCTACGGGGCTAAATTAACGTGCCACATTTACTTTGTTATGAAGAAGTGGTTCTAATGGTGAAGCTATTGTATTTGGCATACAAATCAATTAATTCATAACCAGAAATTCGTTTACACACACCAACTCAATTACTGGATAAATCTGTTTATCGTAGTCCTAAAAACATAATAGTGTTAAAGACGATGGGTACAAACTAGTGTTCATGCTATTTCAGAAAAAAGGCATAGTTGTTATGAAAAAAATTGGATGATGTATTTGTTGATCAATTGCTCATTTTGATTTTGGTATAATGATTTATTTTTAATGTATATTCAGCTTTTTATTTTATTTTGTAGACATGAGTGAAAATCAAAAACCTAAAAAATGATTGTTAGTATTTAGACAAATAATAAAAATAGTAGTGATGTGCAAAGGAAGCCAGTTATGTTTAAACTGATACGTTCTAACCAAATTTGGATATAGTTTATAAAGTAGATACAATGAATAATGCTAACAAAAGTTGGAAATTCGGAAATGCGATTTATGAATATGAGATTGTCACTAAATAATAATACTCGCGTGAAAAAAGAAGTTGCATGGAGTTAAGAAATACATATATGGGATTCTCAATTATCATTGTTACTTTCTTGGAGTTCATCAATAACTTATCATAATCATTATTTAGATTATAATTTATATCGTACCATTGTTTATTATTTATTTTTATTACTTTCTTTAGTCCTTAGTCGTCCACGAGATTTAATTTTAAGAAAAAAATCCAAAGGAGTTCAATTTTTTTTTTTTTAATTAATCAATGATAAGTCTTTCAAAATCAATCTTAACTTTAAATTCATTATTCACCTAATAATATCAAAAGATTTCAATGAATCAAGCAATTAAATTTGTTTTTTTTAAATATCTTCTTTAGATGTGATGTTTATCTTTACATCTGACAAACAAATTTTAAAATTTTATCTGCAGATGATCCGAAGGATCAACCAACAATTTATATTATGAGCCATCACAATAGAATTATGCGATAAAATTTTTTCATTCGTTTTGATCAAATGTCAACTAATTGCGGTATATAAAAATTGAATTACGGTTACGGTTACGACATATGAAAATTGAATTGTGGCTAATTGCGGTTCCCATATTTAGTCCTGACCAGTGTATAAAATACAATGCCTGCAATATAGAAGTTTTCCTAAACTACTAAATTTCGGCAATAGTTACGGCAAATTAAAAAATTTGGCTTGGTTTTCAAGCAAGCAAAATGCCGAAACTTTAGGCATAACATAATTATACGTGTGAAACCCAAATCTATGTGCCGAAACTATAAAATGTGTGTAACTAATGATTCATAAAGCATATAATGATAATATTACTTTGCCAAGAATTAATGCCAGTATTGGCATTAATTACATATTAACATTAACAATTTAATAGTAATCAAACCCGTCTATTAAATAACCTTTCCACGAAAATAATTTGGATTTATTACGATGTGATATATCACTTGTGTGTGTATATATTTTTATAGTAAAAATTTATTACTTTGAAAAATTTTTAAAATAATGGTAACAGATCAAGAAACATCAATATTTTAGATAATTATTTTCAACAAGAAAATGATAATATATACATATATGAAATTTCATCAATTACACCATAATTGTCAAATAACAAAAGAAAACATGCTGTCGATAGACCATTGTCGGAAGTTTGGGACCCATTTTACAAAAGGAGATGGAAAAACCAAAGGCCAACTTGTAAATATTGTCATCAGAGATGGGATAGAGTTTATCCTAATAGATTGGAAATTCATCTAGCAAATCAATGTATTGAGTTTTCAGCATTCATTTGTAGTATCGGCATAGTGATCGAATTCGGCAAAGTGACCAAGTTTCGGATTATTATTTTCTATAATAATAACCTTATTTCGGCATCATCACATTTTAGTTTAGGCAAACTTCTATAGCGTCATACATTAATATAATTTTGGAGATAGTTTCTAAATTTGTACTAGTTACATGGCGAATTTTTATACACCAAACATGGAATATCGAATATCAGAAAAACAGCTTAACAATTGAAAACAATCAAAATTTTCCATTCTTCAGATCCTCATTTGATCATACCACTATAAAAATATTTATTTCTTCATTTCGAGTGCTTATAAAAAAAAAATGCAGAAATGAAATTATTCACGTGCCTATCGCCCCAGAGCACACCTGTAACCATGTTGGGTCCAAAAAACAGGGATACTTTTCTCGTGACATGCTTTGACAATAGATTGTACATTTGGAATAATATCTATCGGTAGCCTCTTTATAAAAGTACTCCTATTAAGGATTATATATTATTCAGTGAAGTTGCAAATTTTCAGGCATAATATTCATCATGACTCACTTGCATGTCAATAACCAGCAAGGCAGCTGTATTCGAATTGTAAGGAATAGAAATTGGTATAATAATAGTAAATTGATGCGCTTTGACTTAAAAATGGCAATTATCAGATTATAATAATGAATACAAAAACTAAACTTTATTTAAAAATGCCTGATACACAATAGTTAAAATGAATAGATGATGATGTTAGGAAAAAATTTATTAATAAATATTGAAATTAACTAACTACTTTATCTACTTCTACATCTTCTTTTCACCACTTTCATGTCCTTTTCTTAAAGTACTTTTGTGAAAGCCTACCAACTATACTAAATAATAAATCAGGAAAAATTCCTTCCACTAGTCTCGCAAATTTTCCTGTTGCCATAAACACAACTTCTCTATCACCTCTACAAACCGATTTGAATATAGTTCGAGCACATTCTTCTGATGAGATTGCGTTTTTCATTTCAAGATCTTTGGGATTTTCGCCTAGTCTATTTTTATTGATTTCTGTTACTACTGCTCCCTACATGAAACAAATTTAATACATTCAGTTAGAGAAAAATAGAAGATTGTAATTGTTTTAATTTAATTAATTAATCAAGTTTTTTTTTTCTTTTCGTTTCCACTTACAGGATAAGCCATGGTAACAAAAATATCATATGGTGCCAACTCATGTTGTAAACTTTCAAAATACCCTTTTAACGCAAACTTTGATGCACAATATCCAGTTCGTAATGGTCCAGGAATAATTCCAAGTAACGATGAAACAACAACAATCCTTGACTTTGATGACGGTTTTTTCTTTAATAAAGGTATAGCTCGATAAGCTAATAATGATGATCCAAAGAAATTTACATCCATTATATTTTTGATCAATTCAAAATCTTTAAGACTTTCTAACGTCTCACCCATGGAAACACCAGCATTTAATACCAAGCAATCAATTCTACCATTAGTGGCTGTGTTGGTTTCAACAACTGCTATTAATTTATTTATATCTTCTTCTTTGGTAACGTCTGTCCTAACACTAATAACTTTTGTTGCGCCCAATGACATACAATTCTTTTCTACTACATTTGTTAACAAGTCAATCCTACGTGCACACAATACCAGGATTGATTTATGTTTTGCAAACTCATAAGCTAACGATTCTCCTATTCCACTTGAAGCACCCGTGATTAATACAACTTTTGGTTCTTCATCTTTGTTGTTGTTGTTGGAAGGTAGCCAAGGTTGAGATTTCTTGGCGCGTTGTAGTCTATAATATAAATTAATAAGATATAAAACCGGGTAAGATAAAATAAGCAAAATAAAAATGTATCCTTCGGTAAGATATACAGTAGTTAAAAAAATAATAAATGAAAGTTGTAATAATGCCATCGTGTATTTTATTTTTATCAATGATATTTATTATGTAAGGAAAAGTTAATTAAAATAAAAAGATAATTAAAAGTGTAAAGAAAATAATTTAAATCCAAAAAATTTTGCAGACGAGTATTTATTGCTGAAAATAGCTGCGGATTCGCTTTATTAGATCTTGACTTTATTTTTTAAAAAAAAACCCATGAAAGCATAGGGACATTTGAATTTGATTTGTAATTTTTAAATTTTAAACTATCACTCAAAATAAAATAAAAAAATTTGATTGGTGAAAAATTACAGATTTCCTCTGTCACCTTTTATTAATATTAATAATAAAATAGCAATAATGGAGATTTACAGGTTTTGTTTTTCGGTAATTTGATTTATTAATATGTTGTTGTCAACAAAAAAAATTCTCATATATACTAATATAATGAGTGAATGGAGCGATCATCATCATGTGCAAGAATAATAAAACCTAAATATAGTAAATCGAATAGAATTTTTAAATATCGGCTCCTTCTATAATAAAGCCTTCTGATAGGTTAAAATCTAATAAAAAAAAATTTTATAATTTCAAATTCATTACTGCCCAGGATTTTTATATATTAACACCTTTTGTCTTTTCTACATTTTCGTCATCTTTTTCAAATATGAATGACAAACATAGTCTGGTCTAGTATTATTATTTCCACCAACAAAATAATAAATTTTGCTCCAATTATATTATAGGAATATGTTTGTTTTTCTCCTTCGGATCCATCGGTTTACAGTGAACAAGCCATAATGAAGTGTTTGGGCGAGTTTACCAACAGGAACAAGTTGTAATTTATGTTTTTTGAAGACATTATTATTATTATTATTATTATTATTATTATTATTATTATTATTAAGGAAATTGAAATTTACGAAAATATTTAAAAAAATGTAGACAAATGGGTATTAATTTACGAGGTCATGTGTTATTGAAATATTTATTTTTAAAATGCGGGTGTTTTTCCAAATTTAGCGATTTGCTAATACAAGTAGCGCTTTACATGACCCCACACAATCATATCAGAAAGTTACATCCTTAAACGACCAACAAAAAATTAGAGCTGAATAATCATATGATTTATTCCATTGATGTATGTACCTTTTCAACAGATGATCCTCACTTTTATTGTCATTATATAATAAATAGAATTTTAGGAGTGTATAAAATTCAATGCCCGCAATTCCCAGTGATGATCCTCGGTATTATTATTATTATCATTAGATAATTTATCAAACACGAGGTTATTTATTATTTTTTACTATTATGCGATAAAATTCAAAATTTCGTCCATTCATTATTAATTATTAATTTTCTTATTCATTGTATATTATTTATTCGTTGTAAATTGATACGCGGCTTATATGACCAAGTAATTATTAAATAAAGATTTTTGTTGAAATGTTTACAATGATAAAGTATTTAGCCATCAGAGTATTTCATGATCTGTTTGTTATCTTCACAATTTAGTGAAACATATCCATGCATCTTTGCATGAAAAGTTATAAATATTGATATCTAATTTTTTCTTCGTTTGTGCTGAAAATTTTTTTTCCTTGAACGGATAATATCCTAAGGTTAGATCCGGTTATCCTATTACTAATAATATTATTATCCGATAAAACGGATAATAATACTATTACTATTACTATTACCATTACCATTACTATGGATTATCCGGATTATCTAAAATTATCTTATATGTTCAACCACTTCATTGTAACAATATTACATCATATTATATTGCGTAAAACATTGACGACATATTTTTTCATTCAAGGTAAAAAAAAAAAATCGGATCAAAAGAAACAAAGAAATCACCTATATACAAAGCTTAAAGCATACTATTTCCAAATATGTCAACTGAAAGAGCTCAAAAAAACATGCATGTCCCGAAGATGATGACTATATTGATATAGGAAAGCCTAAACAACCTAGTTTAGATGGTATTTTAGAGTAACATACAAAAAACGCGTCTGATAAATTTCTTGATAATACAGTAATAAAGAAAAATTCTGATCATTAAATCTTCAAGTCAAAAGTAAAGGAGGATTTTATTTCCTTCGATTACTTTTCCTTATTATTATTATGTAACATTAGGTAACCCGACTAACATTGAGATGATACAAGACAAATGTTATTATATTAATTGTAATGTTGTTATACACATGTGTTATAATAAAGAGTGATGAAAATACATTTCCTAATTAATTATTAAAGTTTATGTGACGGGATTTTTCATTGCTTCCTTTGATCGTGTTATCCAACGTTGGATGATATTAAGGAAAAAGAAACCCAACTAACATCGAGACAATATAAGACAAAATGTTATTCTATTTGTTTTATTGTGACGTTTGTTATATACATGTCACAATAACGAGTAATGAAAATTCTTTCCTTAATTAATTAATAAAATTTATATAATCCTGTTCCAAAATTCCTTCTCGTTAACTGTTCATAAAAACACATGGCTTGGCCTTACCTCATATAAACCATCTCTATTTGCAAGAACCTATTTGTTGATATGTGGTATTGAGTAGAGCAAGCTCCTTGAAAACTTGAATTTGATTTTTCTCAAATAAAATGTTCAAAAAATTGCTTTGATTAGGGATGGGCAAATTTTCATTTTTTTGACACTATACAATACTATACTAATACGTATGGTGTGCCACATCTAAAGACATCAAATGCTACGCCATTCACCGTAAATTTAATGGTGATCTTTTCTGATTAAGAAATCATTCAGATGTATCTAATGACATCAAATGCTGCGCTTATTGCCGAAAATTTTTAATGCTAATCAAGAAATCATCTAGATAAAATATTTAACTTTTATCCGAAGTATCATTGTGAATTAAATTATATAGAAAGTTTTTGGGAACTAAAGAATACACTAGAAAAAATCGTAATTATTTATTTAGAGAGAACTGTTCCTCTGGCATTGAACCAGTGTTGAAAATTCAATGTCCGGAATGTCCGGGTGTAAATATTACCAATCAAATTTTTAATTTTTTGAAATAGTTTCTAAATTTGTACTAGTTACACAATGAAATTTCAATACTGCATTGAACTTTGTAAAATTGGTAAGTTTGTTAAAAGATGTTATAGATTTATGACTTTCAGAAAAGGCCGTAATATTTGCAGCAAAAAAAAATCTAAATCTAATCGAAAATTGCCAATT